TCTCATGGCGGGGTAGGATGCCTCTGTTAAAACCAGGACACTTGGGGAAATAGACTGCTGAATCTCCGGTGGAATACTGCCTGCACATTTTAAAAATTAATTTGCCCAGTGTTCATAGGAACACGCTTCTGTTTCAGTAATTCGTTTTAGGCACATTCGTTCTATGTTGCGAACACAGCTGAGGGCGATGATGATGAATTTTTTCTCTTCCTCCTGGTTTCATGGGAGGCAAAATGGTCTTCCCACCGTCACTATCATCTGTAAGATGTTTCTGCTGTGGCAAAGAGAAGCAACTGGGACTTCAGAGAAGGCTGCAGGCTGGTCGGAATTGGGAATGGCCTTTATCCTAAGAACCAAATGTTAAAACTCAGGGAGCACGTGGTTTTATGACCATCTGGGTGACTCTTGGGGCTCATGAACGCCGGGATGCTCCCGACAGCTGAGTCAGGGAGGAACAAGGCAGTGCTGACCATGTGGTCCACAACTTAGCCAGCTGAGTCATCAGAGTTAGTGAATGAGACTTTCATGGGGGGTTCCCAGGAGAAAACAATGAGCAGAGACCTAGGCACCCGAGGGGAAGCAGGGTATAGTCTTCCTTATCTGAGAGTGACAGCATTTTCTGGGGAGGGGGTCAGTTTAGAATAATCACTGATACTCAGTTAAACCAATGGGCAAAGTGGGCTTGGTGGCTCATACCTGTAATCTCAGCCCTTTGGGAGGCTGAAGCAGGAAGATCACTTGAGGCCAGGAGTTTGAGACCAGCCTGGACAGCATAGCAAGACACTGCCTCTAAAAAACATTTTTTAAATTTAGTCAAGTGTGGTGGCACACTCTTGTAGTCTCAGCTACTTGGGAAGCTGAGACAGAAGGATCATTTGAGTCCAGAAGTTCAAGACTGCATTCCAGCCTGGGTGATCCTGTCTCAAAAAATAATAATAATTAAATAAATACAATAGGCCAGGTTTGGTGGCTCACGCCTGTAATCTCAGCACTTTTGGGGGTTGAGACAGCAGGATTGCTTGCACCTAGGAGTTCGAGGCCAGCCTGGGCAACATAGTGAGACCTTGTCTGTCCAAAAAAAAAAAAAAAGCAGGGCATGGTGGGACATACCTGTAGCCCCAACTATTCAGGAGGCTGAAGCAGGAGGATCACTGGAGCCCAGAAGCTTGAGGTTACAGTGAGCTATGATCGCGCCACTGCACTCCAGCCTGAGCAACAGAATGAACCCTTGACTCAATCAATCAATCAATCAATACATTAATTAAAATAAACCAATGGGCTTAATATTTGCAGCAGTGAAAATGTTTCACAGATGATCAGAGATGGAAGTAATCTTAGAAGAACTTGTCCATTGGTTCTCAAATACAGGGTGAGCAGTCAACTGCATCAGAATGACTGGAGAACTTGATCCATGTACATATTCATGGACCTTGGCCTCAGAGATTCAGATTCAGGCTTGGCCATAAAACATGTACAAGGGTGGACCATGCAAAAAATTCTAGAATTTATTTATAAAGAACGGTGTATTTACTCTTACATGTTTCAACTTTAGTCACCTTTAAAATACTCTTAGTTTGGTGCAGTACATCTATTGATGCCTTTCCCACTGCTCAAAACAGTTTTTGAACTTGTCATTTGTGCCTTTTAGTGTCTCAGCCGTTTTTTTGTTTCTTCTTTCCACATCGGCAAAATGTTTCCCTTTGAGGACTTTTTTTCATCTGAAGAAACAAAAAAATGTCTCCCAGGGCAAGATTGGATGACTAGGGAGGGTGAGGCACAGGGGTCATGTCATTTTTGGTCAAAAACTGAACACTCAACCGCTATGGGGTCAGGTGTGCTCGTAAATTACCCATCATGAAATGGGCAAATGTGTTGAAAGAATCTGCAAAAAAAAAAAAAAAATTCACCAAAGCTGAACACAACCTCCCATAATACTAGCTGGTATAGTGATGCCGATGGGTTCCTAGAACACTTATCTCCTGGGGGAAGCCTGTACTACAAGGGGCCCACCCTCCAAAAAATGATTCTGGTTTGTATGGTGTCTCCTTCAGATATTTAACAAATTCCCCAGGCTATGTTAATGAGCAGCTGAGGCTGGGAGACTCTGAGAGTTCCTTTTATAAACAATGAAAAATTCTGTCTCACTTAGGGAACACCATAAACCCAAGCCTCCAGCATTTTTCTATGTCACAGTTGCCATTTGAGATCGTTCTTGAGGTTCCTTCTAGCTCTAACATAAAACACACACACACACACACACACACACACACACACACACACACACACACACACACTATGCTAAGTGAAATAAGCCAAGCACAGAAAGACTGCATGACCTTACTCATATGTGGAATCTAAAAAGTCAATTAGGCTTCATTCTTCCTTTTTTTTTTTTTTTTTTTTAAGACAGGATCTTGCTCTGTTGCCCAGGCTAGAGTGCAGTAGTGCCATTATAGCTCACTGCAGCCTCAAACTTCTGGGCTCAAGATCCTCCTGTCTCAGCCTCTTGAGTAGCTGGGACTACAGGTGCGGACCTCCACACCCAATTTTTTGTGTGTGTGTGGTAGAAATGGAGCTTGCTATCATTCCCAATCTTGAGCAGTCCTCCTGCCTTGGCCTCCCAAAGTGCTAGGACTACAGGCATGAGTCACCATTCCTGGCCTCGGCTCAAATCTTGACAAGTTCCACCATATTCCAGATATCGTTAAGAGCAACTGACAGTAACAGAAGGACAGGGCACTGAGAATTGCTTGACTGCCTCCAAATCCCATGCCTTTTCTCCTCTGCCAGCAATGGCAAACTCTTAGCTTACAGGCCAAGCGATCCATGGATACAGTTTAACTCACAGAAACAGAGTAGGAAGGTGGTTTGGTTACCAGAGGCGGGGAAGGAGGAGGGATGGGGACAGAGAGATGTTGATCACAGGGTGCAAAAGCTTCACTTAGACTGGAGGACTAAGTTCTAGTGATTTACTGCACTATGTGGTGACCACCGTTAATAATAATGCATTGGATATTTTTAAAAAATTTTTTTAATTTTTAAGATGTGGGGTACAATTCAGGGTTAGGTATACAAATGTTTAATATGCAGGTACCCTTGTTGCTGAGGTGTGCCTCCCTCCCTGCCCCAGCAGTTTTCTACTACTGCCAATCTCCTTCTTAAAGTATTATGAAAATTGTTCAGGGTCTGCTTATGAGTGAGAACATGTGGTACTCAGTTCTTTGTTTCTGTGATAGATCACTGAGTATGATCGACTCTAAGTCCATCCAAGTTGCTGTGAAGTTCATAATTTTTTCCTTCTTTATGGCTGCATGATATTCCCTTGTATATGTACCACAGTTTTTAAAATCTAGTCCTCTCTCAATGGGCAGCATGGTTGGGTAAATGTTTTTGCTATTGTGAATAATGATACAATAAACATAAGTACGCAGGTATCTTTTTCATAGAGTGATTTGAGTTCCTCTGGGTATATTCAACAGAAGGGGGATTGCTGGGTCATATGGAAGGCTGAGTTTTAGATCTTTTAGGAATCGTCAAACTGTTTTCCACAGAGGCTATACTAGTTTATACTCCCACCAACAATGTAGAAGTATTCCCTTTTTCCCACATCCTTTCCAGCATCTGTTGTTTTCTGAGTTATTGATGATGGCCATCCTGACTGGGGTTAAGTGGTATCTCAGTGTGGTTTTATTTCAACATTGCTAAAAGAATAGATTTTTTTTTTTGAGTTGGAGTCACCCAGGATGAAATGCAGTAGCATGATTATGGCTTACCACAGCCTTGACCTCCTGGGCTCAGGCAATCCTCCTGCCTCAGCCTCCTAAGCAGCTGAAACTATAGTTGTATGCCACCAAGCCCAGCTTAATTTTTTAGATTTTTTTGTGGAGATGAGGTCTTGTTATGTTGCCCAGGCTGGTCTCAAACCCCTGGGCTCTAGTGATCCTCCCACCTCGGCATCCCAAAGTGCTGAGATTATATGTGTGAGCCACAGCACCCAGCCAAGAATAGATTTTTAATGTTCTCACTACAAAAATGTGATAAGTTGGTGAGGTAATGGATATGTTAGTTAGCTTGACTGTATACAAAGGTCAAAACATCACATTGTACCCCAGACACATACATAATTATCTTCATGAGAAATGAATAAGAAACGAACCATGAACTCTGCCTGACTTCATATTATCCAACAGCAAACAAATAGTCCAGAGCAGTCATTTACAATTCAAGTAATACAAAGGGAGCAGGACGGGGGGATAAAGGCTCACAGCCTATCTTCCTGTCATGGAATTCTCTGGAATGGGAGACCCACTTGAAACATTCACATCCGTGGTCCACAATCTCCGTTTATGGACATGCAGTAGGTAGAGTGCTGTTCTCAGAGCTGTTTATATGCATTAGCAGAGTAGGATTACAGGGTCAGGACTTTTCACATGAGAGCTGAATGATGACTCAAGATCAGATGGTCTTAATCAGCAAAAAGTTCTTGCTGTGGGGATGGGTTTAGAGTCTCAAGCGGTCAGTTGTCTCTACTTAGGACACAAAAGCATGTGCAGTAGGTGCTCAGCAGCACCAATGGGCACATCAGAATTTAGAAACACATGTTGAGCATGGAGATTCACACCTATAATCCCGCATTTTGGGAGTCTGAGGTGGAGGGACCTCTGGAGGCCAGGAGTTCAAGACCATCCTGGGCAACAAAGTGAAACCCTGACTCCACAAACATTTAAAAATTAGCCAAGTGTGCATCTGTAGTGCCAGCCACTTGGGAGGCTGAGGTGGGAGGATCACTTGAGTCCAGGAGTTGGAGGCTGCAGTGAGCTATGATCACGCCACAGGACTCCAGCCAGGGCAACAGAGTAGGATCCCTTCTCTTAAAAAAAAAATCCCATAGACTACAATTCTCTTCATCTTCGTCAAAACATCTATTGGCACAAAAACCGTGTAGCACAGTTGAGAGATTTTGGTAATGCACGATCTAGTTTTCTCACTTCTCCTTGCAGCCTCAGCCGCATCAGAGATTGTCGTGATGGCGTTTGTGGGTCAACAGGTGACTTTGCCCTGTGTATACGCATCATGGTCTCAGGGCAGCAACAGCATGTGCTGGGGCAGAGGCCAGTGCCCCAACTCCAAATGCAGCCAGGAGCTGGTCCACACAGATGGAGCCAAGGTGACTTGGAGGAAGTCGGCGAAATACCAACTCTGGGGGGACATCCAGCAAGGTAACGTCTCCTTGACCATGTTAAACCCCCGTGAGGATGATGGTGGTGTGTACTGCTGCCGCATAGAGGTGCCCGGCTGGTTCAACGATGTAAAGAAGAACATCCACCTGCAGCTGAGGAAAGGTGCTCACGTGAAGGGGCTCATGTCCATGAAAGCAGGATTCGGTGGTTGGTGGATGACAGATGCAGGAGGTGGTGGTGAAGAGGTGTGGCTGCCTAAGCCATGAGTGGGAAGTGTGTGTGTGTGTATTATTTTTGAGGCAGGGTCTCACTCTGTCATCTAGGCCGGAGTGCACTAGCACAATCATGGCTCACTGCAGACTTGATCTCTTGGGCTTATGCAATCCTTCCACCTCAGCCTTCCAAATAGCTGGGATTACAGGTGCACATCACCATACCAAACTTTTAAAATTTTTTAGAGATGGGTTTTTGCTATGTTGCCCAGGCGGGTCTTGAACTCCTAGCCACAAACAATCCTCCTTCCTTGGTCTCCCAAAGTGCTGGGATTACAGGTATGAGCCACCGTACTTGACTGGGAAGAGTAAATTTGAAATTAGGAGGCTGAGCGCGGTGGCTCAAGCCTGTAATCCCAGCACTTTGGGAGGCCGAGGAGAGAGGATTGCCTGAGTGTAGGGGTTTGAGACCAGCCTAGGCAACTTGGTGAGACCTTGTCTCTACAATTAATTAAAAAATTAGCCAGGCGTGGTGGCATGTGCCTGTAGTTCCAGCTACTTGGAAGGCTGAGGCAGAAGGATGGACCTAGCCTAGTAGGTCGAGGCTGCAGTGGCCATGAGTGTACCACTGCACTCCAGCCTGGGTGGCAGAGTGAGACTCCAACTCAAAAAAAAAAAAAAAAAAAAAGGAGAGAGAAAGAAATCAGGAACCATGATGTAAAGTATGAAGGTAAACTCAAAAATAGCCATAGAAATGAGTGGGTAGAAGGTGGGGAGGGAACCAAGGAATCGCAGGGTCAGTCTGAGGAAAACAGTTGCTACTAATCTAAGGCATTGTTACCTTACAGAAATCTGGGCCCAGTGTTTTCAGGTCTCTTCATTTTTACATAAACTATATCGATTGTTGCAGGTCGGCAGATTTCAAAATATTAAAAATAAATACTTGTGAGCTAAATTGTGTCCATGGATTGGTTGACCTGTAAGCCAAGAGTTTGCCATTTCTGGCAGAGGAGAAAGGGCGTGGGATTTGGAGACAGTCAAGCAATTCTCGGTGCCCTTTCCTTCTGTAACTGTCAGTTGCTCTCGACAATATTTGGAATATGGTGGGACTCATCAAGATTTGAGCTGAGGCCAGGCACAGTGGCTCATGCCTGTAGTCCTAGTACTTTGGGAAGCCAAGGCAGGAGGACTGCTCAAGGCTGGGAATGATAGCAAGCCCCATTTCTACCAAAAAAAAAATTAGGTGTGGTGGCTGGCACCTGTAGTCCCAACTACTCAAGAGGCTGAGACAGGAGGATCTTGAGCCCAGAAGTCCAAGGCTGCAATGAGCTATGAACGCACTACTGCACTCTAGCCTGGGCAACAGAGCAAGATCCTGTCTTAAAAAAAAAAAAAGGAAGAACGAAGCCTAATTCTTACTGCAGATTTTGATGGCCTCCTTGCAGAAGCAACCTGACAGCTGAGACGCGAGCGTTAGGTAGTGTCAGCCCTAAATGCAGAGCAGGGATAGGAAGCAGCAAGTGCAAAAGTTTCTTCAGCTGGAAAGTCATGATGTGTTCAAAGAACGGGAGAAAAGCCAGTTGGTTGGGAAAGCGTGAGAAGGGGCAGTGGAGATGCACGCTTGGAAGGAAAGGCAGGGCCAGGTCAGACGGAGGCTGCATGTGAAGGCACTGGCAAAAGTTGTAAGCAGGGGATGAGCATGATTCGACTTGCCATTTTGAAAGCTGGCTCTGGGCAGTGTGTGGAGAATGATTGGAAGGAGCAGGGTGAGGGCAGGAGATGCAGTGTTACCACCAGGGATCAGAATGGTCCGGGCCAAGGGAGCCGCACTGGTCACAGAAGGCAGAGGAATGCACAGGTCCCAGACACATTCATGTTGTCTCCCTTGCCTTCCATCTCTGACAAGTCTTTTGTTGGTTGCAGCCCCAACAACCACACGCAGAACCACCACCACAACCGTTGCCACGCACAGAACCACTGCTGTGCGCCCTGCCACCTCCCCACGCGTGCTGACGACCACGGCTATGCTTCCAACTAGCACCGTGACAACACCCGTCCTCACAACCAGAACGCCACTTCCGACGAGCACCACCGCTGCCCTCACGACAGCAGTGAGCACGTGCCCTCCGGCTGCCCTGAGCTCCCCACCAGGGGCAACCACAGGTCTCGTGACCCCTGGGCCATCCACTGAGGGGTCCCTCCTCACTGCAGGTACATGTCACAGTGGGCAGTTCTGCTGCCCGAGGTATCTTGGGCTTCTTCATACAGGATTCTCCTACTGAATGCCACGGTGCAGCAACTTGAATGTGTGTATAATAGTTTGCTAGGCCGGCCGAGCTGGGTGGCTTAGCTTGTCATCCCAGCACTTTGAGAGGCCGAGGCGAGTGGATTGCCTCAGCCCGCAGGTTCGAGACCAGGCCGGGCAACTTGGCTGCAATAAATCAAAAATTAGCCGGAGTGGTGGCGCGGTCCTGTGGTTCCGGCTACTTGGAAGGCTGAGGCGTAAGGATCGCTGGAGCCCAGCAGGTCGATGCTGGGGTGGCCGTGAGTGGTCACTGCACTCCAGCCTGGGTGACAGAGTGGGACTCCAACTTGAAAGGCAAAAAAAAATTTTGCTAGGCCAATTATAACAAACACCACAGACCGGGCGGCTTAAGCAACAGGGATTTATTTTTCTCACAGTTCTGGCTGCTAGGAGTCCAAGGTCAAGGTGTCAGCAGCTCTGGTTTCTTCTTTTTTTTTTTTTTTTTTTTTG